TATAGGCCTATCTTTTGAATCCTTTGAAAAGGTCCTCAACAGGTTGCATAGAACAGGAAGCTGATTTGTAATTCTTTTGTATATTAGTAACAGTTGGTGTTTTCAAAGTCCTTCTTTTTTACCCAATAAAATTCTACAACTCAACTGAAAACTGCATTTTACTCCATCTGATTTTCCAACCATTTGTCATAAAACATACAGAATTCCTTTGCAGTGTTACAATTTATTCCCAAAGTGACTCAGCTCTCCTCTGCAAGTGTGAATATTAATTTCTCCCTCCTGCTGACTGTGGGGAGGTGAAATTAGGTTGACAATATTGAAGTTTTGACAAAGTTCAGTAATACCATGAGTTCTTATTGTTTGTTGACACAGTACTGGGGTTTATTAGCACTGCATAGCCTTGAGGTGTTATTGGGGCTGCTTCACTGAGACATTTTTATTTCCGCCTTGCTGTTTTTTTGCTGCTTGTTTTACCTCCGGGTGTAAAACAGGATAGTGAGTGTATTTGGATAGTAGCGGGGGGTAACCCTCTATTGCTGGCACCCGTGTGGTAAAGTAGACACTGAAATAAATGAATATGTAAAACTGCGTCTAACAAACTCTCCCAGAATGTACCCATAGATTCAAAATATTAGCCCCTCTGTAGAAAAAAATAATAAAAAAATCTAATACAAAAGCGCTAATAGCATGCAGATATGTTTCAACAGCAATAATTAGTGTCAGAAATTAATTAGCCCATGCTTAACAGTGTGATTGTTATTGGGGTTTCTCCATTTCTTTTTGGCAACACTTGATAATAATAGCACTTTTAAAAGTCTAAGGAAAGCATGAACATGGACTCAATTTGTAATCCACAAATAGTTTGTTAAGAATTATTGAGACTTTACCTGGAATGTTCCATGGTATGACACTAAACATATCCACATATATAGGATTTTTATTCATTACACGTGTTTCTACACGCGTAATTTATTCATTATGCGTGTAGAAACATGCATTTAATCTATGGAATCTGTGGAACATTCTAGACAAAGCAATAACTTTGTATAATAATAATTACCTCTATTATTATTATTATTATAATTATTATTATTATTTCTATGGAGATAAGAATGTGGTGGACTCTCCACTAGAAATGTTACTCAGTGCACCTTGAATACGCAATTTGTTTGATTATGAATTAAGTCTTTCTCTGTTACACTGCAAAAAAAAAAAAAAAAAATCTTGCCATTTACAAAATGAAAATTGATTTAAATAAGCTTCACATGTAAAATTATCTTCCACTGGAGCAAGACTTTTCATACTAAAAACAGAAAATTACATTGTATTACACAAAACAAGAAAAATTACTTTTTACGCTTAATAAAAAATTAAATCTTATTTAGTTTACATTGAGAAAAATAAAACATACTCCACTGGTAGATAATTTTATTTGTCAAGTCAAATCTACTGAAATCAAGTTAAATGTTCTTAATTGGAGTCATTTAAATTTAGCGAGATATTACTTTTTGCAGTGTATTAAGACCAATTAAAGGGGAATTATTATAAAGTGGCACCTTCCTTTTCCCCTTACTCTACCAGTCCTCCTCTTATCCTTGTCTTGCCTTTCTGTTCTGGTCTGTGTGCTGTCTATCTGAGTACAGTAGGCCATTGTGCCACATCTGGATGATGACTACACCCAAAGTCTATCTCAAGCCTCTGTCATTTCAGGCCATTGTCAGCCTCCATTCCAGCGTCTGTCCATTCTACAAGCCTAATGGTGTGTGTAATACACTCAGATAGCTCCGAGTCCCCCACCACTTTTCTCTGCCATGTGTGAGTGGGCAAGTGTGTGTGCAAAGGAGCAGAAAGGGACTAAAATGGGGGCCAATGTGAACTCAGGCAAATTGCATAAGATGACTGTGTATAAGGTCAGGATTATGCAATAAATAAATTAACATATTTTTAAGCATTAAAGGTGTAGTGTGTAACTTTTCTGATGGAGGGTCCATTAGATTGTCTTCATCGAGTTCCTTTGTCATTCGCCTGAAATGTTCTGCAGTGTGGCATGCTGACAATTATGTGACATCGCTAGGCTATGTTATGGACAAGATCTGTGAAGAATGGATCCCATTAAGTGTATAAAACAATAAAATCTCCATGGAGATGAGCAGACCATCCACTAGAAAATTTACACAGTGCAACTTTAAGGATTTAAAGATATTTATCAAGATGATTTGCCTGTAAGATTAAGACTTTTTAGATTAACAGTGTGTCAATAAATAAAAAATAATGTCATGATTTGCTTATAAATATGTTTTAGTAGAATCTATTTATCACATACATTTTCCATATAAAAGTTAACACATGTATAGCTCTTGACTTTAAACTTTACATTAACCCACTGAGATACAGATCCATACATCTGTGTATGCAGACAGTGGAAACAAGGTCAGGAGTCTTGTTTGAGGACACAACAGAATGTATATTATGGGAGTCAACCTTGGGCTTTGTTATACCTGAAAACAGAAGAACTCTTGTTGTTCCTGAGCAATTGATGTTGCATGATATTGAAATGAGTGTGTTTTTTTATGTGGTGCTGTATATACAAAACTGCACACTGAATGAAGTTGTATTATACCCATGCCTTTCCTGTCTGTTACATTTGTCCTCAAAGTTCAGACTTTCTCTACCACACTTAGTTTTGACCTCTTTCAATGACATCTTAACCCTCAAACACACACATCCCTTTCAGTGGCCCTCTCCTTTCTTCGTGCTTGTCTCCACTGTTGCTGCACTGGGCCAAAGGAAGCCATCCATGAAAAATGTTTTGACCTGCCATAATTGCCACTTTCTGCATTTTTCAAATCTCCTTGACACCAGAGACCGCGTGTGTTTATGAAAGTGATGTCTATAAGGAATGTGCTTGCAAAAACATCTGCTGCTTCCTGAAAGAATACCACCTTTCAGAGAGGATAAATCGAAGGAAACGTTGCATACAAATCCAAAATTCAAATTCAGTCTGATAATGAAAGCTTAAAACAAGGTTACTTTTAAAAGGCGAGATTGGCATGTCCTTGCACACACCTGGACTCGGGGAGTAGGCTACACCGAGCTAACAGCAGGCCAGGCTAATACTTACAGACACTTTCATTTGGGATGAATGTCACCGCTAATCCGACCTTAAGCTACAACAAATGACTTGTACTCCTTCGTCCATCGCTCCATTGTATTCTCTATAGCTTTTATTACTGCTTTTGGAGAATGTGTCCTTGAAGTGGCTGACCTCATCTCACCTCTTCTGATGATGGATTGTCACATCCTTTTGATTTTTGAAAGAGTCTGAATTTTGCTTGCAAAACAAATTACTAATATTTATAAATTTTTTATCATAATGAAAGTATATACTTTAGTTTATATTCACTTGGACAACTATGGACACAAATTAAAGGGCTCATATTATGCAATTTTCTGATGTTTAACACATAAACCGTGCGTATTTAGGCTGTGTTCTTCTCTCAAACAAACAAAAACACTCTGTTTCACCTTGTGATGTCATGTGGTAATACAAGAAGTGCTCCACTGTGTTTTTAAACTCCATACATTTTCACTAGAATCATAGAAGTAGCTGTTAACTTGAAAACTGCCACTACATGGCATTACAAGATGGAGCAAAGCATTTTGATCTTTGAGATGTAGATAGACTAATAATAAAGGATTAGTCAAATGTGTGAATGAAACAAAATACAATTCTGAGTTTTTGATAAAGTAACAACATTATAGCATGGCTTAAAGCTTACAAGAATCCATGACGTCTAATATAGAACCTTTAATTTCATATTATTTACTGGAGTAAAAAATGTGATTTTTGATAAATTATTAAATCGGTTCTATAGTTATGCGTGCTAAACCTGACATTTTTATGATTTGGCCTACCTGACAGCACATCCTCATTTTCAATCCTATCACAGTGTACAAGTTCAGCCGGGGTTATGCTATAGCGGCGAGGGTGTAGGAATTCGATTCGGGTGAAGTGGCCAAGCATGGCTGAGTCCTTCCCTGTGTACGGATTAGACTGGGCTCTGGCAGCTCTTATTGCCGAGCTGGAGAGGATGACAGGTGTGCACCAGGGACCTGTTAGAGGAACACTTTGATATTTAGGAGCATGCAGTGGAATTTTCCAACAGCAGAAGTGGCCACAAGAACATTTTAACTAAAGCAAGTTGTTGTTTTGGTTGCTTCGTCTCATTACAGCAACATGCACCAAGAGCTAATAACAGGGGCCTTGAGCTGTAAAAAGCTGTGTTTGTTTTTAAAATGCCTCTATAATGTAATGGTGTGCTTTAGGCGAGTTAGATGGTTATAATGAAAGTAAGTAAAAGTAGAAGTAATTTTGCAGTACCCAATTACACAGTGTTTATGTCCAGAGAAGAGTTCTTGCAAAGTAAACAATAAATGTGTGCTTGAAAGTTAAGTAGGCCATATAGGGACTATTTGGCCATAAAAGTGCACATTTCACAATCACTGGATCACCACTGTGCTACTATCATCAATGGATGTTTTATGTGGAGGCAGTTTAGAAACAAGCTTCAAGGTGCATTAATACATTCAGTCTGTTTTTACTTACATCAAATACAAAATGAAATGCTTCACCAAAATGTTTTTTATTCACAAACATTTTACTGACAAAATCTATGGATATAACTTCACTTACCATGTTTGAATCTGTGTGTAAAAATGTTTCTATTAAGATAGTAAAGTAAAATGTTCTAAGTTTTGAAAGTGCAAAGTTGTCTGTAAGAGTCCTTGATCCTACCTTGCTCTCACTCCTACTTTCTCTTCATCAAAGGGAGCCACAGAACCTCCCTCTTTGTGCTGATAGATTCCTGTCTGTAGTAGCCCCGAGTGACCACCAAAGAGAAGCCAGTGTCTCACTCAGTGTGCTTATTCAGTATTACTTGTTGACCCTGCCAATCCAATACACTGATCCTGTTTTATAATGACTTTCTGTCTTTTTGCAGATCCTTCTAGATGCCAACACAATCAGACTGGGCAGTATCCCCCTGGGCAGTGCGGTGGACCCCCTGGAAGGGGCGCCAGCAGGCACCACTTACACCAAACAGACTGTGTATGAGCTGTGCTCCTGTGCTAACGGCAAACTCTACCTGTCCCCAGCGGAGAAAGGTTCAACATGTCAGACCACCAGTAACTTTTGTCTCTGGAGCTGAAACTGACCCAACAGCTACCCAACATCTGGGACATGTGGAAGCTACTGCTAGCCAATGAACACAATCAGCAAAGATGCTGGTTTGATGCAAAGCAAATGAGGCTCATGTCTGTACGCGGATCACAAAGTGTTTGCTAAGAGACCAAATCTCAAAGGATCAAGCTTTTTGTTGAGCTCGCTCCAGCTGAAGGACTCAACGTGGACTAGAGCGGGGCAGTGTGCCAGCTCAATGACCAAATTATCTCTGGACTGGTCGAAAGCTTGTGCTAGTGCTTTTGGAAGAGGAAGGGTCAACTAATTCAGGCAATGATGGAAAGTACAGAGTGGACACAGTGCATTTTGTCACTCTCCAGGTTTCATGCTGTTATTGCTGCCATGATGGTTCATGGGAGTCACAGCAAAGTTTGTGCAAAAACAACAGTGAATTACCCCGCAATAAAAAATATATATATTTAGTGTTTGCCATATGATGAAGATGTACTGGAAACTACCCATTTAAAGATCTGAGGCATCGAGATGTGCGTTAAGAAACTACTATTTGTCCATTGATTGAGGGCTGTGGTTCAACCTTGCAGTAAGTAAAAGTGAACTTGGTGTAGCCTGTAGGTGGAAGTTAGGATTCGCTAATGGACCAATCTATACCAGAACGGCCTTCCCCCGCTTCACATCGTTACCCCTTCACAAGTCATCCATCACCTTCTTGTTTCTTTCACTAAACCTAAACTTAACTAAACCCTTTGTTTTGTTTCTTTACATGAAATCAATTATGTTTTCACAGCACACATATAACTCCTATCCATTTGATACCTGATGCAAAATGTTCTTACTTGCATTCATTTAAGCCCTTTTCATCCTTCTGCTGCTTTTTCTATGCCCCACTTACTCGGTACATTACAATTCTTGCTGAACACTTAAATTCAGCCACATTGTTTAGATTGTTTTGGAAAAGCCGTTTTTGGTTTTACAATTGGTTAAAAACTTGTTTCCACATGTCCCTTGAGTCAGCCACTGAAAAGCTCTTAAAAACTATTCATGGATGTAATATGAGGCCAATTTCAATCTCACTCTGGGGCAATAGTTCGTTTGCCCAAATTTGTCTTTTTGGTTTAATCTTTGCCATATTCTACCACCCAACCTTAACATAATATCAATCAGAAAATCATCAAATATAATATCAGCAATCGTTTTCTTTGATGAGTTCAATCATATTCTGTGAGAAACCAGCGGCGATTTCGTGGTTCTCTCTCCTGGATAAAACTCTGGACAGATGCAGTTAGATGATAATTGAATATCGTGGACACTGGCCCTGAGGCGAACTCTCTTTTTTAAAAACAAAGCGAAACACAGGTGCCTTTGCTGATGTTGGTAAAAGCACATCACCGTCTGGACATTCACACACCCCTCAGTGGACCGTTTGCAACTCTCTGGACTCTCTCTCTCTCTTTTTACAATCTACCTATCTGTTCATTTTGATGTCCTATACCTTCCCTCTCCTTGGTTACTCCTTGGTTTTTGTAAAACTCTCGGAGACAAAAAAGGATGCGATTCATTGTTTTGATGATTTATTTTCTGATGTGTCCCTTGGTTTAATTCCTGATGATTAAAAAGCACAAATTATGCCATGTATATAACAATATCAATAAAATAAATAAAATCATATTGTTTTTAAAAATACTACCTTGTTGATTCCATGCTTATTTGAACACAATGAGTGAGAGACAATAAAAAATTGTTGGGAAATAATGGAATGCATGTACTGAGAATACTTATTCTGAATAGTAGTTTTTAATATCAGTATATCTCTACAGTTACTTTTTCATTTGGTGGTCTTCAGAATACAGTTACTTGTCAAAAATGAAAGGAATGCGTATCTGATCATATAATTTAGGCTTAAATCTCGCAACTCGATGTAAAGGTATTCTAAGTATTCAAAATATACTCTGATTGGCCCTTGTATTGGAATACATTACAACATATCTTTTAATGCAGGTATTTAGTATTCTGTAACTAAATACATTTTCGAAGTATTCTTCCCATCACTGACTATCTGATATTTGGTAAATGGTCAGAAGTGCTTTTCTACCTTTCAATGCACTCAAAGCACTTTACATCAAGGAACCACTCGCACATTCATAAACCAGAGTGCACTGCAGTTCAGACAGAGCAACAGCATCGTATGTGAAAGCAGGAATCAAACCACCAACTTGTGAATTATTAGATGTGACATCATACTGACACCCTTTGGATGAGAGGACAAAAACTCAACCAACTGAACTGCTGTCCCCCTGGTGAATCTCAGACTCCACTGCCTTCGTGCTTGTATTTGTATAAGCTCTATCTTTAAAAACCTCTTCATATGGTTCCCATAGGCCTCGGTAGAGTTGATTAGTCTCTAAAAATGAGTAACTGATCATGATTCAAATGTTTGCCTTATGAAAAAAATAGTTATTTAATTTTGTAAGTTCAAGTTCTTTTACAAAGAAGAAGAGGAAAGCCAGTGATCACACACCAAAATATAGTATCATGTTCAAATTTCCCCACCATCATCAAATCCAGCGTCTTGGGGACAAAAGCGTGCTCACAGGACCTTGGAGCCAATAACACAGAGATTGAGACAGCTAGTGAAGTGGAGGAGAGCAACGCAATCAGAATAGGAAGATAATGTGTAAATCAATTGTGAGGACAAAGTGAGTTTGAAGAAAACGGGCAGCAGCCAGAGGCACTGACAGAGGAAAGCCAGTCCCACGAGTGAAGATGTCTCACAACAAAAAGACTACCAGCCAATGCCACAGAAGTACCATTTTACCAAGAGATGAAACTGTTTGTACAAATATAACAACAAGGCAACAGTGTGATTTTGGAAAGTGATTCAGTATGCTATGGTTGGTGAATTACAAGACAAATTGAATATTGATGAAAAGAAACACAGGCTCTTCCAAATCATAATTGTTCTTGGAAAAACAAAACTTTTTTTTGTTTTCTTTACTAAGGTATTTCTTTTAACACATGTAAGATGCTGTGTGTGTGTGGACAGACATATATCACACTGTGGGGACTAAAATCTGTGCACTCACATCATGGGCTCCTGCCTCCACTACAGGCCTGTCACGATAACACAGAAATATTGCAATAACTGATAATATTGAAAACACTGCCTGCCACTGACACAAAATAGGGTTATCCTTTACAGTATATGGTAGAATGAGCTAATAAATAACCATAGAAGTTATTTATTCTCTTTACAGCTCAAATCTCACCTTATTATATAAAAATGACAAAACTCTTCCCACTATTGCAAAGTCATTTTGAGCCCTAAAATATTTTGTTCCAGCTTTCATATACTAAACAAAGTTGATAATATCATGATGTACATTCAAATTCAGATTCAAAAAGTTTATTTATCAATTCTTCAACATACAAAACATATGAAGAATCACAATTGTGTTTCTCACTCCCAAGTGTATAAATAAATAATAATAAATGGAAAAATCTAAGTGTTTTTTTGGGGAGACACAAATTCCTAGCTTCCTGACCTCCTGGTGGTTAGAGACAGGAGAGAGTTCAGCATCCTAACAGCCTGGTCGATAAAGCTGTTAGTAAGTCTGGTGTGGGATCAGAGCCTCCCGTACCTCCTCCCAGTGGACAGGAGGCTGAACAGAATGTGTGCGATGTGAGCATCACTCACAGTTGTGATGGCTTTGTGGGTGAGGCAGGTGGTGTATATGTCTTGCAGGGAGAGGAGAGGTGCACCAATGATCTTCCTGGCTGTGCTCACTATGCACTGCAGAGCTATCCTGTCGTGATCAGTTTAGCTTTTGCCCCACACAATGATGCAGCTGGAAAGGATGCTCTCAGTGGTTCTTCGGTAGAATGGCTTCATGATGGTGGTGAGGCACTCGTCCACTTGAGTTTTCGCAGGAAGTAGAAGCACCACGGGGCTTTTTTCACCAGTGATGTTGTGTTGGTCCAGGAGAAGTCCCCACTGATGTGCACCCCCAGGAATTCAGTGCTGCTCACTCTCTCCACAGCAGCACCGTCGATGGTCAGTGGCGGGTGTTGAGTGTGGCCTCTCTGGAAGTCGACAACAATCTCCTTAGTCTTGCTGACATTGGAGGTAGTTGTCTCTGCACCACATCCTTATATTATTAGGTGAAGAACATAATTGAAGGTTACGATATGGTTCTAAATGAAATGTAATGTGTGTATGAGTGATGAAAAATACCCCTGTATGGAAAAACTCAAGTGAAACCCTGTCAGGTTAAAAGTGTCACTTTCATTTTGACTTATGCATGAGTGATCTGAATGCAGTTTGGAGGTCAACAGGAAAGAGGTGGAGCTAATGAGTTAACAAGTTTAGGGAGAAGAGCTAGGGGTGAATGTGGATAGAATGTGGAAAGAAGAGCAGTACAATTATTTGTATGTATTTGTATTTATATTTGTGTGAACATGTGTTTGATTCCCCTCTACTTGTGTCTTCTGCCTGGTAAGTGATAATGGGACTTTTTCACTTTTTCTAAATTAATTTTAAATTCTGGGATGGAGGTAACCGGAAGCAAAAATGAAGTGGAACATAATGTGATTTCAATGGGGAAACTGGGATTAATCACAGAATATCACAAGATATGAAAAAATCCAGGGAAATCTGACAAACAAAAAACACCCAGAAACTATTATAATTAATTGCAATTTTGTTTTATATTATTTGTTCATATAAGAAGAGATTATGATAGACACTCAGCATTATGGACAAACTACACTACCCACTACAATTTCTACATATTTTAAACATCCCATCATAAATTATACTTTTTGTGTAGTTCAAACACAATTTTAGGTCAGGACAATATATTCTTAACAGATAATCAAATTAATTTATATGTGTACCTGGAAATCTAAAAATGTTGTTTGTTTTTGTTATAATGTCATTAGCATTTACATCTGTAAATCACTTATTTGTTGAAAATATGTTAAGTCAATCTTTGCCTCCAGTTGTCTTCATTCCAGTTTTAAACATTCAGATTTTAAAGGGTCTGTTGGGTATGACAATATCTGATGATGGATATTTGTATTTCCATGTGCAGTCCTGACAACAGGAAAGCAGCAGACCTTTACTCATTCAGTTGGATACAATTTGACTTTTGATTGTCCAATGTGGGATGTTTGGACAACAATAGCATCTAATGCCAAGTACATTTGTGAAAGTCCATGCCTAAACCGAAAAAACAACATTGTTAAAGCCGAACCTGGACAAAACAAAACATGGAATCGAATATTTATACAAAACAAAAGAGAAAGCGGACTGACTGTGACCTTCTTTAATCTGCAGAAATCAGATTCTAAAGTGTATGTTTGTGGATTGGAGCGATATGGCTTTGACGCTTACACAGAAGTGAAAATTATTGTGTCAGATGGTAAGTTTGTATGAATATTTATATAGTTTATGTGTTTTTATGGCTAAATAATTGATAAATGGTTGATCTTTTGCCTTCAGGTTTTACCACAACACAAACAGTCACACCTTTTGTCAACAAAACAATGAACAGCACCTTTAGTCCAAACATTGTGTTTGAAAAAGGCAATGGTAAGAATGAAATAGATGACCAAGAGAGGACTTTTCTCACTTAGGGTGCATATTTACCCCACTGCACTCTCTACCATTCCTGTGCCCCTCGGACCATCTCCTCTTTTCTGCATCTCATTCATTCTATTTGGATACAAATTCCAGGAACCAAAAGTTTCCTCAGAAACCTCAAAGAACTTTCCAACATCACTTGTGCCATGATTACCTGAATAAGATTACATCAAGTTATTTTCATTTAGATTGTAATGGAAATTATTTTAAAGTTGCTAAAAAAGTTAAAAGTACTTCTCAGGATAATAATGGTAGATTCACCAGGAAACCTGAGGCCCAATACTCCAATGAGGTTCACTTGGTCTTTTATGTTATTAGGTTCTTTTTTCCAACCAAGAGTTTGTTTTCATTCCTGACAGTTTTGACCGCTCACTAGTGATCTTCCTCAGAGTGATCACGTGATGTTGCTGCCGTATCCGGTCACAGCAGGTCCTGCAGATGGCGCTGTCATCCTGCCTTCTCTGGTAGGAAGACAGCACCAAAACCTGTATAAATCAGCTCAAATTCTTGGTCTGAGAAAATAACTTAATAACATGGTCTCAGAGCCATAACTGGACCCTAGGCCATAGTTTAATTTCACAGTAATTCACAGTATCACAGTTATTATTATTATTATTATTATTATTATTATTATTATTATTATTATTATTATTATTATTAATTTTTTTTTTTTTGTTTTTTTTGTATTATTATTATTATTATTATTGTTGTTGTTGTTCCTACTGTACTGCATGCAATTCATATAGAGTATTCTTATTTATTTCCTTGGTATAGGAAGTGTTCCATTTTTGATTACTGGAGTGATCTTATTGTCTACACTGACAACTTTGCTGATTTTTAAAAGGAAGAAGAACAGATGTGTGTATAGTTTCATATCTCATATTCACACTGTTGAAACATGTAACAAACTATTTAATGATTTTCAGCCTTTGTACAAAATCACGAGGACCAACCAGCTGCAGAGCTAGTGA